AGTTATTTCACTTTGCAAGATTCTGCACTTTGCTTTAACTACCTTTTCCTAATTGTCCAAAGTTTTTTATTTTAAATTCCTAATGTTACATTCTTTTTGTTCTCTTTGTGATTGCAAATACTCTTTATATCGACTACTTGCTTGTTTTAAATTTTGCAGCATTTCATTATCAATTTTGATACTATCAGGGGATTCTTCAAAGGAAGACAAATGATCTTCAATAAGATGTAAGACAATAATGGATTTTTCTTTAAGATTTTTAACTAGAATTTGTTTATTAATGCTAAAGCCACGCTCAATTGAAGATTGTCCACGTGAAAGCACAAAAACCATTTTAAAAACACTCCAAACATCATGATAAGTTTTATTTGCTCCAATAAAGTCAAAGAAAAAATAATCAAGACTATCATTTTTAATACCAACCCCTTAATAACGTCATCAATTTTCTAATTTTTTTAAAAACTTAAATAGCTTCATCAATTTTTAAGCGAGCAGCAAAACCAATATCAATTTCATTTATTTTACTTTCTATTATTTTACCCATTAAATTTATTTGAAGCTGCTGGTATAGATTGCTACACTTCTTTAAAACATCTTTTAGTATGATTCTCCTGAGAAAATTGTCATTGATCCTGAATCATGGCTTTTAGTCTCTGCCAGTTTTTATTTATTGAATCAGGTTGTTTGCTTTAAGACTACTGAAATATATTACAAACTTTTTGTACCCATCAAGTAGTGATTCAGCCTTTTGAGTACATTTTTCATTTTCACACCACCTATGCCAACAATGCATTGGACAATCAAGTGTCCTAGTGATATTTTCATAGGCTGCTCTTCTACTAGGTGAGTCATGTAGAAATTGCCACATTGCTTTTAATAGATTATCAAGCTCCCAGCCACTTGCTTTAGCTTCTGCTTTAAAACTGCCATGAATGATATGGAGATCACAGTTTCCAAGACCTATAAGAGGATTAACTTCTTCCTCTTTCATCTGTTCCTTTAAATATAGAAAAAGCAAATTTACATTCGGCTTATCTGATGACACTTGTAGAATCTTTGATTTATCTTTATCAGAAATACAGTTTAGGAATGTTTGCATAGTATTATGTGCTGTCGAGCACCCCATGAACTCTTAATTTTAGATAGTGTTTTAACCATAATTGTATTGTCATCCCAAAATCTTACTAAGAGGTCCATTTGACTCTTCTGAAAAACTTGGTTCATGGATTAATCAAATAAAGTGTATTAGATAGGGAAGTAAGCAACTCATTTTTAAAAAAGGAAGCTAATCTGAATGTTGCAATATAACTGGCCTTGGTGGGACCACATTGAAACAACTTAGCAACGTCACTATCTGGAAACATTTTACTAAATAATTTACCAGAATCAGTTTGAAGAATTCATTGAATATTTAGAATAGACAATATTAAGGACCCAACAACTTCAGCTTCAAGTGTAGATGTATTTATTAGCATTTTACAATTTGTTTTTTGGTGTTCTGCTTTATTTGAGCATTCTGACATACTCATCAAATTGAACAGTGTTAGGAGCAGTTGGCATCAATGACTTAATATTGTTAGCAGAAGGAGGTCACTCTATATGCTTTTTACCTATCATTTGTGAAGTTCAAGCAGCTTCTCCCATGCTAGCAATATTCATGTCTTTAGCATAACAACTGCAAATCTCCACAGTTTCTGTTTTTTTATGTAACCAATGTTTATATTTTTTTCAACAAGCCATTTTACTTGAAAAATACAGTTATTTTTAGGCATTTTCTAATTATTTTGTCTGAAATCAAAACAAAAAAACATAAACATTTTAGGAGCTCAAAAGAATTTAGATATACTTTTAAAATTATTTAAAACTATACAGCAATGCAATAATTAAATACTAATTGAAAAAATATGTAATCTCTCTATATAATTATGATTTACGAAAACGTCTATGATGATATCTTTCAAATAATATTTTTAAAACAACTATGCATCAACAACATTGTGTAAGTTTTTTAAGAATCTTTCAAGTACAAATTTCAAAAACAATATAAGAATCAGATTTTCCATAAAAAAATATACATTAGAGCAATTATATTAATTTAATTTACTATAATTAGTATTTTAGTTGTATTGCTGTTGTATTGTTTTTCATTTACTTAAAAATAAACAACTAAATATAAAAGATAATCTCTTTTTCCAGGACTATTCAAGAATTTTACAAAATAATAAAAAAAATCCAAGACTTTCCAGGACCACTTTTAAATTCCAGGTATTCCAGGACCAGTGGGAACCCTGTATGTTCATACACAGTGTTAAGCCCACACATACAGACGGGCATGTCCATACATACAAAGAGATAAATATATAAATTTATTCATCTTTTTATATATAGAATATTAAGATAATTACAAGAACATCTGCTACTTTTGAATCTTTTGTAAACGAAACAGACTTCCAATTAATCATGTTACTCATATCGCTCTCAAATATAAAACAAGCACAATCTAAAAAAAAAAATATTATACTTGATACAGAAAAACTAATTTTATATTATACACACATATATAATAATAACATCAACTTACTTTCTATAGTACACAAATAATATAATAATAACATCAATTTACTTTCTATAGTACATGCATATAATAATTCATCGACTTCCATTCTATAGTACACGCATATAAAAATAACATAAGACAAATAAAGTTAAGCAATTAATACAAATTATTAATTTTCTGTGAAACAACTTCCTAAACTGAAAAACTTATTATGCTAGCTTTAAATACAGAAAAAAAAGAATTTTTGAAAGCAAAATTCTTTTTTAGTATTAAACTAACTCAAACATTGTAGACTTTTTTTATGTTATTTAAAGTTATTTGAAGGTAAAGATTGCTACAACTCTTTAAAAAATCCATTAGTATGATTCCCCTAAAAAAAGTCATCGACAATATCACCAAGGCATAAAATAAACTATATGTTTAGAAGCCCATCTCAATTGCAGAAACCATCTCAATTTTAATTTTTGGATCAGGTTTTTTTCTTAAACTACTTGCAAAAATATAAGACAACTTCAAAAAATATTTACAATGCAATTGGTTGAAAAGTGAGAGTAATAAATACAATTCTCCAGAAAACAGACATCTGTTTATAACTGCTAGGAACCATTGTGAGAAGGTTTTGTCTAATGCCAAGTCCGCTATTCTCAGGTCATGAAATCTCCTATTTCATCACAAAAACTAGGCTCTCATGACTTCTGGAGAATCTTTAAAAGTATCAATAATAACAGGCAAATCTGTTATTCCACCTCTCTTGTATGGTTCAGACTTTGTCACCACACCTAAAAATAAAGCTGAATTCTTTGCTAAGAACTTTTCATCAATATTATCTCTTGATTCCACTAGTTGCATTCTACCTGATTTAGCTGTCAAACATGGTGATCCATTGCTTGACATCCGCATCACTCCAGCTTCTGTATCTAAAGCAATTTCCTGCTTAGACTACTACAGCTTGTGGACCGGACAACATACATGTTATAGTCTTGAAGAAGTGTTCTCTGGAGCTGTTGTTTATACTTTCAAAACAATTTAACAAGTGCTCATCAGAGTCTTGTTTTCTAGCCTGCTGGAAAACAAGATTCTGATAAGCACTGGCACCTGTTATACCTATTTTCAAAGATTCTGGAGAGTGATCTGACTTGTCTAACTACTGCACCATTAGTCTTCTTCCTATCATAAGCAAGGTTTTTAAATCTTTAATTAACAAACAGTTAATCTCTCATTTTGAATATGATAACTTACTTTCTGATCATCGATATGGATTTCAATTTTCTTGTTTTACAGCTGATTTGCTAACAGTAATAAGCGATTAGTTTTATCAACCATCAGATAAAGGTGGAGAGCTTAAGGCCATCATTCTTGACATTTTCAAAACTTTTGATAAGGTTTGGCATGCTGGTCTTCTACATAAGCTTTTTTCTTAAGTTGTATCTGGTAACATCTTTAAGATTATTAAATCCTTCCTTTCCAATCGTAGTATAAAAGTTGTCCTTAATAGACAGCACTCTTCTTCTTATTCTGTTACCTCAGGGGTTCCTCAAGGTTCAATCCTTGCCCCTATACCCTTTTTAATTTACATTAACGATCTTCCAAATATTCTCACACCTATGCTGTTGTTTGCTGACGATATCACCATTTATTCTTGTCATGATAAAAAGCCAACTCTCTCTGATTGCTTGGAGGGGGCATTTGAGTTTGAAAAGGATCTCACTTTTGTTATAGCATGGGGCTCACAGTTGCTGGTGAACTTTAATTCAGATAAAACTCAATTTTTTTCAGTAAATCGTTATCTCAATAATTTAGAATTTCCTATATTTATGAACGGTGATGTACTGGATGAGTCCTCTACCCTTCATCTTCTAGAATTAACTCTTTTGATCTTTCTTGGAAACCTTATATCAAATCCATTGCAAAATTAGCTTCTGCTAAAGTTGCATCTCTTTATCGAGCTCGACGCTTTTTAACTCTGGATTCTATTCTCTATCTCTATATATCTCAAATCAGGACTTGTATGGAATACTGTTGCCATATCTGGGGCAGTTCTTCTAGTGATGCCCTTTCTTATTTAGACAATGTGCAAAAACGCATTGTAAACATATTTGGACCTGCTCTTGCAGCCAACCTTCAACCATTATCACATTGTCCTAATGTTGCTTCTCTTTCTCTTTTCTATAAATACTATAATGGGCACTGCTCTAAAGAGCTAGCGTCTCTTGTGCCATCTACTAAAATCCAATCTCGCTTTACGCACCATTTAATTAAGTCTCATCCATTTTCTGTGACTGTTCTTAAATGCTCCAAAAGCTCTTACTCGTCTAGTTGAAAAACTCCCTTGAACATCAGTTTTTGGAATTCACTTCCTTCATCTTGCTTTCCTGAATTATATAATTTGCAATCTATTAAGTAGTCTGTCAATCATTATCTTGCTCTACAATCTTCATCATTTTTCTTCCAGTAACTTCCAACTCTAATTAGAGGTTGCTTGCAGCCTTGTTGGAAGCAAAGATGTTTAAAAAAAAAAAAGTATTGATTCTTTTATATTTTCATTAAAAGAATCATATATTTAATGCAAGTTGAAAAATGTTTTTTTTATTATATTAAATTTTTTTGTCATTTTTTTAGTTAGACCTTAAAGTTCCGCCCTGCTTCATTATTTAGGTCAGGTCAGATTTATCCTGGCACTGGTAACATGTAACCCAGTACAATCTGCTTCATACCCTGCTGCCTTGTAGGATACGCCTTTTTAGGCAAAGGCTAGGAGATACAAACTCTGACATAAAACACCCCCTGCCTTGGGGCTTTTTGTTGAGTAAAGGCTAGAGATGGTGTCTCGATAAAAATACTTATCTTGGGCAGATGTTGACATCTTTTTTTTACATAGGTTTTAATACAAGACAGGAGGTTTTTATACAAGACATGCATCCGGCTGCAGTCTTGTATAAAAACCTCCTAGGCAAAGACTTAAGATTCTATCTGTTGACCAGCCTCGCACCCCTTCTTCATCTATTAGGCTGGCGCAGATGTATTTTTAATACATTGTTTCCAGTTTAGGATGTTGAACGCTGGATCTTCTTGACTTGAGACATGGATTTTGCATGTGTCTCTGTTTTTATGACTAGGCAACTCATTCTATTATCTCCAAATGAGGGTACAGCTCTAAAACTCAGTTTTATGGTTCTGAGGCCGGCTGGTAGTCAGGTTTCCTGAACTCTGTGGTAGCTCTTAAAGAGGCTGATTCCATTACCAGCTGAAAAATATCAAAGTACTAACAGGCCATGTTGCGCATGGATGGTGTCCCTGTTTGTACTTTTGGTGTGCATTGTCAAGGCCACATTGGAGCCCTTTGTTACGGCTTAGGGTTTATTAATAGAAATGAGGCAATTGCTTGGGCTATGAAACAGTGTACTGAGTACCATCTATGTTTCGAGTCAAGTTCTTTAACAAATCTAAAAATGAATAAAGTAACAAAAACTATAAAACACAAAAAACCACAGTCATCACCAAGTTCACTAAACCTATCATTCACTAATATTTGTGGTCTTCGAAGTAACTTTTCTTCTGTTGAATCTTATCTCTTGCAAAGTTCACTAGACCTACTTGCTGTTTGTGAGACTAATTTGAGTTCAACTGTCTCATTTTGTGATCTTAGTGTTGATGGTTATCGTCCTTGAATTCGTAAAGACTCCAATAGTCACATGCTTGGCCTGGGCATTTACATTCGTAAGAATTCACCCATTTGTCGGGAAACTAGGTACGAATCCACAGACTACTCTTTTATGTGTTTTCGTTTAGCACCACTTCACTCTATCACCTTTCTCTTTGCTCTATATCGCTCCCCCTCATCTCAAGACTGCACTCCTCTTGATGTTATTTCTCTTGATGTTATTTCTGATCATATTGACCAAGCCCTCTCTCTATATCCATCAGCCAATATTGTAGTTGTCGATGACATCACACTGAATGGCTTGACTCTAGTATCAGTGACTCTGCAGGCATTAAGGCCCACAACTTTTGCATTTCTCAATCCCTAACTCAAATAGTCAACTTTCCAACTCACTTTCCAGATAACGGGAATCATTTACCTTCTCTACTCGACTTATGTCTTGTTTCTGATCCTAGTCAGTGCTCAGTTTCTCCACACTCACCCTTAGGTGCCTCCGATCATGGTTGGTCTCTCTAAAACTATTATCTCATTCTTCTTTATCATCAGAATCCCCCTATCATTGTACATCTTACAACTACCTTAAAGCTGACTGGGAATCTTTCCGTGATTTTCTTTGTGATAGCCCCTGGGTAGAAATCTTTCGTCTTCCTATTGACAAATGTGCTTCTTACATAACTTCATGGATTCAGGCTGGCATGGATTCCTTTATTCCTTCTCAACGATTCCAGGTCAAGCCTTACTCTTCTCCATGGTTTTCCTTGCATTGTCCTGCTGCAATTGCCAATCGAAACCATTACTTCCATATCTATCAGCAAAACAATTCTCCAGAAAACAGACGTCTGTTTATTACTGCTAGGAACCATTGTAAAAAGGTTTTGTCTAACGCCAAACCCTGCTATTCTCAGATCATGAAATCTTGTATTTCATCACAAAAGTTAGGCTCTCGCAACTTCTGGAGAATCTTTAATAGTATCAATATTAAGGGCAAGTCTGTAATGCCACCTCTTTTGTATGGTTAAGACTTTGTCACCTCACCTAAAGACAAAGCTGAATTGTTTGCTAAGAACCTTTCATCAATATCATCTCTTGACTCCATTAGTTGTGTTCTACCTGATATAGCTGTCAAACAGGTTGATCCATTGCTCGACATCCATCACTCCAGCTTCTGTATCAAAAGTGATTTCCTGCTTAGACTCTTCTACAGCTTGCGGCCCGGACAACATACTTGTTATAGTCTTGCAGAAGTGTTCTCCGGAGCTGTCGTCTATCCTTTTAAAACTAT